TCATGATTTATATCCCAGTAAATCCAATAGTTATAATATTTTTTATTAATAAACTGTGGTTCAAGTAAGAAAATAGCGATAAAACGAACAACATGTACAGAGCGCGTATAAACAATGCTGCTCTGCTCAATGCTGATAATAATAATAATAATAATAATAGTAATAATAATAATAATAATAATAATAATAATAGTAATAATAATAATAATAATGAAAACTTTATTGAATTTTTTACGTATATATACAATTGTAAATCTCACTACTGACTTAGGTAATTTACAATTGGCTACATGAATCACAGAGTACTACATATGTACTATTTACAGTAAAAACAAGAATAAAATGGGTATATGATTATATATATTGTTATATGTAGTTATTAATTTAAATGTTTAACAATTCAGGGTTTGTCCACTCTTTGTTTCGACAGCAAAAAATATAGTACGTCGCTCTAATGGCATAAGGCGTCATCTTTTTTATGCAGTAATGTTGCTGCTTTTTATCCATTCCTATAGTGTCTAACATTTCTAAAAAGGTGAAGCATTCTTTGTCAAACACACCGAGAGAGCTCATTGATAGTTTTACAAATTTAACAGAATTAAAGTGACCCCTTTGATCTTCAATTAGATCTCTGTATTTAGCTTTTTTGCGTTCAACGTTATTATGTAGATTAGATTCAAACCCGACAGTAAGTTCAACGACATAAAGATCTTCATTTGGGGTAATTAGGAGTAAGTCCGGTCGATATAGGTCACCAGTTATAATTGACGGGCTTTTGTGGCCGGATAGGTCAGCATAAAGTTGACATGGATTTGTTGTTTGAAACGTTTCAGCGAGAAAGTTTAAAATAGAATCATGTCTCCAAGTAAAGCGCTGAAGGTACGATTGGCAGCCGGCTACCACGTGTAATAGGGTTTCAGGGCACAAATAAAAGGAACATTCGGGACTTGAAGCTAAACCCCATCTTGAAAGGTTTTTTTCGCGTAGGAAGAGAGTTATTTATGTAACGAACGGTGAAGTTGAAAATGTTCTTTGGCAGTTTTGATTGAGCGGCAGACCAAAGTGTGTTTAACTTTGAAAAGGAAAACTTTGCAACATTCGAGAAAAATGAACCTTGACAAATTAAACAGTGTTGAAGCTTATCTTCTTGTCCAGAATGAAAATCCTTGAGAACTTCCTTTGTTGAATTATATATGTCGTACTGAATATTAGTGTGATTGTTAGTTGATTTCCAGAGTTCTTTTATGGAATCATTTGGGGATGTTTTTAAGGCGTTGCGTAGGACAGTTTGACATTGGATAAATTTGACCGATGCAGGGAGGATATTCAGACCGAATTTGTTATGGGTTAGATAAATATTACTTAATGTTCCAGAAATGAGTATTTCAAACCACTTTCTGATGTAATAATAATAATAATAATAATAATAATAATAATAATAATAATAATAATAATAATAATAATAATAATAATAATGGAAACTTTAATCATTTTGTTATATACTATATATATATATATATACAATTGTAAATCTCACTAATTTAAGGTAACTTACAATTGGCTATTTGAATCGCAACTATATGAACTAATAAAAATGACAAGACAGAATACATGAAAATATGTAAATATACAAGACAATCACATATTTCAAATAGTTAACAAGTCCGGACTTTCCCATTCCTTATTTCAACGGCAGTAAATATAGTATGTACTTCGAATGGCAATAGTCATAATTTTCCCAACACAGTACGTTTGGTAGTTTTTGTCCAGACCAACATTTCCTAACATTTCTAAGAATGTAGAGCATTCTTGCGCAAGAATACCTAGGGAGCTCATGGAAAGATTTATAAAGTTTACGTCGTTAACATTTTCGTCTAGTTGTTTTACTAATTCTTTATATTTGGCTTTTTTCCGATTAACGTTGTTCTCGAGGTTTTTCTCAGCCAACAGTGAGCTCGACCACATAAAGAGAGCCATTTGATAACGATAGCAACAAATCCGTGCGATACGTATCACCAGTTATTATTTATTATTGACGGACTTTTGAATCCAGGCACATCAGCGTAGTGGGCAGAACCGTTCACAGATTGCAAGGTATTGGCAAGAAAGTTCAGGATTGAATTGTGCCTCCACGTAAATCGATCTAGATAACACTGACATCCAGCGACCACGTGCAATAATGATTCTGGGCCAAGACAAAAGAAGCATTCTGAACTTGAAGACAATCCCCATATGCTAAGGTTCTTGCGTGTCGGAAGAGAGTTATTGATATAGCGTATTGTAAAGTTATAAATGTTTTTTGGAAGTTTTGATTGAGCAGTAGACCACAGTTTGCTAAGATGCGACAAGGAGAACTTTGTTAGACTAGAGAAAAAGGATCCCTGACAAGCTAATTGATTTTGGAGTTTATCTTCATGCTCAGACCGAAAGTCTTTCTGCACTTCTTTGGTTGAGTTATAAAAGTCATATTGGATATTAGTATGAGTATTAGTAGATTTCCACAGTTCGTTGATTGATTGATTTGGAGAAAGTTTTAAAGCTTTTCGAAGAACTGTTTGGCATTGGATAAATTTCACCGATGGAGGATAAATACTTTGACCAAATTTGTGGCGAGTTAGAAAAACAGTACTTAGTGTTCCTGAGATTGGAATTTCAAGCCATTTACGGATGTATTGGTTGACTACGGAATCAATCTTTTCAATGAACCCATGTTTTAGAAAGTGTTGCGATAGTGAAATGCCACGATATTTTGGATAAAACATAACGACTGTATACGAGAAGCTTATTTCTTGGGTGGAGTGGCTTCGAGTCAATATCAGTCATTAGTTCATTAACGAGGGTGGTTAGTTCAATCTTATGGTTATCGTTCGACATGTTAAAATCAAAGTAACGTCCTAAATATTGAAATTCTTCTCCAATCTTTATTGTTGGTATCAGATTATTGTTGAGGAGTAGTTTTCGGCAAATATTGAACTGATTTTGTGATGGCTTTCTTGATGCCAAAAGTACTACATTTATCGACTCTGATAATCATATTGGACCATTGGCACCAGATGGAAAAACGATTTAAGAGATGCTGGTTTTCAGATTCTTGGCCACTGATTACGGCTGCTTCATCAGCGAATTGGAACCAGTGGATAAGATTTAATAGCTTGAAGGAGAAGCCAAACTGACGGTACTTTTCAGCTTTGATATGTTCGACAAAAGTATTGAAGCACATATTGAAGAGAAGAGGACTGAGGCAATCTCCTCGCAATACACCACGGCCAACAGATATAAAAGGGGTGCGGGATTCGGAGGTAATTATTGAGGTCTGGAACTCAGTGTATAAACTTTTAATAACGAAATTTATGTGTTCTGGGATGTGGTGGTAGTCGAGTACTGATTGGATGAGATTATGATGGAATTCGCCGAAAGCATTCTTCAGATCAGGTAAGGTGATGACAACAGCACGTTGTCTGATCCGGGCTTTGTTGACGATGTCAGCCATTTGCGCAGTGTGTTCTAATAATAATAATAATAATAATAATAATAATAATAATAATAATAATAATAATGAAAACTTTATTAATAGAACATTTATAGATATATACAATTGTAAATCTCACTTCTTGAGGTAACCTACAATTGACTACTTGAATCACTTATACGTGCATGGTTATAATTTTATATACAAAAATTGTTACTTATTTATAGAAATAGTTACTTTAAATGTTCATTAGTTCAGGATTTGTCCATTTTTTATTTTACAGCAAAATATGTAGTACGTTGATCGGATGGCAATAGATATCATTTTTCTGATACAATATTGTTGGTGTTGATTATCCAGTCCTAACTCATTTAGCATTTTTACGAATGTATGGCATTCTTTGTCAAACACCCCTAGCGAACTGACTGAAAGATTTATAAATTTAACAGATGTAAAGTTTTGATCTAGTTCTCTAATTAGGTTCTTATATTTAGCTTTCTTGCGGTTAACTTTGTTTGTGAGGTTTGATTCAAAGCCTACGGTAAGTTCAACAACGTAGAGGTGTTTGTCTGAAGTGGAGACAAGTAAATCAGGACGATATTCATCACCCGTAATAATCGAGGGGCTTTCAAATCCAGGAAGATCAACAAGTAATTTGCATTCGTTTAAACTTTGAAAGGTTTTTGCAAGAAACTTTAGTATGCAATCGTGTCTCCAAGTAAATCGTTCCAAGTAATGTTGACAACCGGCAACAACGTGCAGAAGTGATTCAGGGTGTAAGCAGAACGAGCAGTCAGAACTTGATGAAATTCCCCATCTACTGAGGTTCTTTCGGATAGGAAGGGTATTATTCATATAGCGAATTGTAAAGTTGAAAATGTTCTTTGGTAGCTTTGATTGCGATACCGGCCAGATTGCGTTAAGTTGTGATAGGGAGAATTTAGAAACATTTTCGAAAAAGGAACCTTGACATTTCAAACGGTCCCTAAGTTTATTTTCTTGTTGAGAATGGAAAGTTTTTAAAACTTCTTTAGTTCAATTGTAGCTATCGTATTGAATGTTAGTATGATTATTAGTTGACTTCCACAGTTCGTTAATTGAATCGTTTGGAGATGTTTTTAGGGCATTGCGTAGAACTGTTTGACACTGAATGAACTTGACGGATGCAGGGATGATATTTAGACCAAACTTATTACGGGTTAGGAAGATGTTACTTAATGTTCCAGATATAGGTACTTCCAGCCATTTTCGGACGTACTTGTTCACCGGAGAATCGATATTTTCGACTACCCAAGTTTTAGATATCGTAGCAACAGTAAAATGCCAGGATAGTTTCGACAAAACATAACGACTGTAAAGTAAAATTTTGTTTTTTGGTGAAGAGGTTTAAGATCTATTTCGGACATTAGTTCATCAATGAGGGAGATCAGTTTAGATTTATGTTTTTCATTAGTCATGCTAAAGTCGAAGTGTCGTCCCAAATACTCAAATGATTCTCCAGTCTTAATCGTTGGTATGAGATCCTTATTGATCAAAAGCTTCGGCATGTACTGGGCAGATGTTGATAAAACTTTTTTGATGCCAAATGTGCTACATTATCAACTCTAACAACCGTGTTGGACCATTGGCACCAGATAGAGAATCGATTAAGGAGATGTTGATTTTCCGACTCCTGACCAGTAATAACCGCAGCATCATCGGCAAACTGAAACCAGTTGATTGGATTAAGGAGTTGGAGGGAGAAACCGAACTGGCGGTACTTTTCAGCTTTGATATGTTGAATATATGTGTTGAAACACATATTAAATAGTAGAGGACTAAGACAGTCACCTTGCAAAACACCACGGCCAACAGGTATAAAATGGGTACGGAACTCAGAAGTAATTACGGAAGTTTTAAAATCAGTGTATAAGCTTTTTATTAAATTATTCATTTGATTAGGGATGTGATGATAGCCAAGGACAGATTGGATTAAGTTATGATGAACTTCTCCAAAAGCGTTTTTGAGGTCAAGTAGTGTGATAACAAGTGAACGTTGTTTTATCCGAGCTTTGTTGATTATATTAGCCATTTGCGCAGTATGTTCCATAGTACCAGACAGATTCGGGGTGAAGCCTTTTTGTATGTTATGTTCTATAAAGTTATTGGCGGTGAGAAAGGAGTACATTGCGTTACGTAGACATGATGTAAATACTTTAAGCGGTATAGATTCGACTGTGATCGGTCGGAAATTTGAGGGTATACTCGTGTTGCATTTCTTATGAATAAGTATAGTGCAAGCTTTTTTCCATTCACTCGGGATAGATCCTGAAAGCCAGGCGGCGCGTATTAGTTCAGTTAAATAAGTTCTTAGGTAAGGACATCGCTTAAAGCATATAATTGATATTTGATCGAGAGGACAAGGAGAACCAGATGCTTCCATTTTACGAATAACAGCAGTAACTTGTTGGTAAGAAGGCGGGTCAAGGTCAAATTGCACTTGTGGATCAGATAACCTAGGAATCCAGCTAGGAATATGAAACAGTTTGCCAGGGTGAACTGCAGCCAAGGTTTTAGTAAAATAAACCGCACATTCTGCCATGCTGAAGTTTGAAACCGCACATTCTGTCATCATAAATTACAACGGTTTACGCTGACGCGCTCAGATTGCTGACGCAAGCATTTAAAAGATTGTGTTTACTTGCGCGCGCGCGTTTGAAATTAGAAGCTTTCTAACTGTTCCTATGCTTACATTTGCTAAACAATTCAGATCTTATATTCAATCTTTATTTTTGTCCGATAACATAATCATTCTTTTTTCCTCGGTGCACAGATAACAAACTTTCATTCCTGCATGACAAACGGCTGGAACTTGCTTCATGACCGACGATTTTATTCGGAATGATTTGTTCTGCGACTTAAGACCCCAAGCATATTTCGAAAGTTCCGTCTCTGTCGAATAGCGCTAATTGTTCAATGATTTCAAATGATTGCTATATCTTAGCTTGAAAGGACCCGCCGTCATTCCTATATAATTCTTGACCACTTTCCCATTGTCGCTTGTAATCTGGGCTTTATACACAACGTACGCTTCTCACGAGACAATTGCCGTTCAGTGGACATTTACTTTTAATTCTGCAGTTACACGATTTCGATGGAATTTGGGAGGGATTCTGATTCTTAAGAACACGCCGGTTGTGGTTTGAAATTGATGCTTTAATATTGTTCATGCCTGAATAACTGACTTTGACAGAGTTTCGGTGGAAAATTTTATGTAGGATCGATGATTTGGGGAAATGCTTGTCTATTAAACGAGGGAAATTTTCTGCAACTTTCGTCTTCACGTTCTTGCTGTAGGGCGGATTGTACCAAATAATGTTTCTTGATCGGGTTCGTTTCTTGGGCTTACTATTATTTGTTTCATTGTCGTATCTTAGGTTGGTATTGAAATTGCTTTTATTATTATTATTATTATTTAAGCTTATTTATTCACGGTAGCCTTTCAGAAGCCTGTTTTTCAAAGGGCCGTGCACACTTACTATAAAATATTATAAGAATATTAAAATTATTAACTAAAAAAAAACAAAAAATAAACAATCATGCATAATATACTCTATTTACATCGGCAAGGCATAATGCTTTGATATGGTTTGGCAGGATGACCTCCCACTCAAAAACACAAGCCATCTATTAATCTTTTAAAAGAACAGATGGAAGTTTCAGGTATTTCCATAATTGGAAGTTTTTCCATTAAACTTTGGTTCCATGAAACTGCTCCTCTATAGGAGAAGCTTCGTTTTAAAAAATTCGTCTTAGGTTTTGGTAGGTAAAGCTTTTGATGATTATTTCGTAGATGGTAGGTTTGGTTAACAGAGACATGAAACATCTGTGTTAAGTATTCTGGAGCCATATCCCTAAGTGCTTTAAATGTCATCAATAATTCCCTCTTTTTTAGTATTGATTGTATTTTTGTCCATTTGAGCATTTTGTCCATTTGAGAATTTGCTTCAGTGCATCTTCGTATACGAAGAGGTAAAGACTTTTAAGAGTATAGTTTCTAGAGTAATTGGGCGGAAATTGGAGGGGTCACTTGTATTGCCTTTTTTGTGGATAAGAATAGAACACGCTTTTTTCCATTCAGCTGGTACAGATTTCGACGACCAGACGCTACGTATCACTTTTTTTTTTTTATTTAAACATATTTTATTACAGACATTTTCTCCAAGAGCATAGCTCATCAAGGGAGATTATGTCGGATTATTTACAAACTTTAGGTTACTCACATCAAGACAAAGAGGATTACATAGAAAAAAAGATTACATCAAAACAAATCGAATAATCATAGTGTGGAAGAACTTCTGGTATTCATTCTCAAGCTTTCCATGAAACATATTATTATAAGAAATTTATATGGAAGAATTTACCACACCAATGTTTTACAAACCAATGTTTTACAAAACAAGTTTCAATAAAAACAAAAAAAATAAATAAAAAAAAAGTTACTCCGCCTGAAACCGTTTTGTATTTAAAATAAATAATTGGACATTTTGCATTAATTTTACATTATCTTCATGTCCAAGATTTTCCGAACCATGCAAAAGTATTTCAATTTTCCGATTCTCTGATAAATTCATCCACATAGGATGGAGCAGCCGCGCAGGAAGTGAGAGCAATTGTTCACGTTGGGCAGCAAATCGAGAACAATATAAAAAGTAATGTTTGACAGTTTCCATTTCACTCCATCGACATACACAAAAGGGGGAATTTGCACAATTAATTCTATATAGGTGAAAATTAAGCGCACAGTGACCAAGCCTGAGCCTGGTATGGAGTATTGAGCTATATCTACTTAGTGATGCATTGTATTTTACGTTATATTTTTGTCCACAATACATATTACATAAGGTAACTTTAAAGGAAGATAGCGTCTCTATATTTCGTAAATCTGGATCAAGATCATTCCAGGCAGTTATTGTCGATGGAAAGAAAGATTTTTTAAATCGTTCAGTTCTCACAGGTATATTAGTTAAATTATCGTTAGATCTTAGAAAGTAACTGGATCTTTGGTTTACATATGGAGGCAAAAGATCACAAAGGTAGGATGGTGCAGTGTGGGTAACAATTTTATAAAAAAAGGATAGCTTATGAATATGTCTCCTAGTTTTCAAATCCTCCCAACATAGTTCATCCAATAGACGATTTCTATTTGTTCCCCTTATTGCACCAGTAACAATGCGAGCTGATTCGTACTGAACTGCTTCTAAAAGATTTGCTTCCTCTATACTACATCCGTCCCATATTACATCTGCATATTCCATTAAGGGTCTAATTAGACTTTTATATAAGCATATCAGTGTTGACCTTTTAAGCTTATATTTAACCCTTTTTAATGCGTTCATTCTTTTACTAGCTTTTTGATGTATGCTTAGAATATGTTTTGACCAAGAGAAATTTGACGTAAATGTTATACCTAAATGTGAATGAGAATCAACTTCGCGTAATGCAGTGCCATTTAAGTATAAGATTGGCTGAGGAAGTCGGTTATGTTTCGTTGAAAATGTAATGCTTTCGCACTTAGTAGGATTCAATTCCATCAACCATTCCATACACCATTGGTTAATGCTATTGAGATCCTCGTTTAGTCTAGAATCAAAAGATGATAAATTATCAACAATTTCAAGTAAAGATGTGTCAGTTAGATAAGTGCGCAAAAATGGAAAACGTTTGACGCAAATGATTGAAAGTTGATGTAGAGGACAAGGCGATACAGAAGCTTTCATTCTGCGAATAATGTTTGTAACTTGGCGATATGTTGGGGGTTGAAGGTCAAAGTTTACGATAGGATCGGATAACTTCGGAATCCAGCTTGGAATATGAAACAGTTTGTTTGGGTTAATTGAACATAGAGTTTTCTTGAAATAGTTTAGGCATTCTGGCATTGGGAAGCATGGAAGTAAGCAAGTGTCCTTATTCTGGATGTTCTTAACGTAACCCCAGAAATTTCTACTAATGTAATTGTCGTGATTGAACGTTTTGTTTTGGTTTTGAGTTGTATTGATTTGACAAGCATTACGCAACTTATCCCGCAATGTGCGAGCTACATATTTGATTTCGTGAGGATCAGCATTCGATAGCTGTAGTTGTTTAATAATAATAATAATAATAATAATAATAATAATAACAATAATAATAATAATAATAATAATAATAATAATGAAAACTTTATTAAATGGATATTTAGCTTATATATACAATTGCAAATCTCACTTATATCAGGTAATTTACAACTGGCTACTTAAATCACTGATTATATATGCAAAAATTATACTATTAAGATAAAAAAATGACAGTACAACGTTTAAACACTTAACAGTTCCGGATTCATCCATTCCTTGTTTCGACAACAAAATATATAATACTTTGTTCGGATTGCAATCGTCGTCATTCTTCTAATACAGTAATTCTGATGTTGCTTTTGAAAACCAAAATCATTAACCATTTCTATGAAAGTAGAACATTCTTTACTGAAAACACCAAGAGAACTAATCGAAAGATTTACAAATTTTACTGAGTTGAAATGTTCATTTTGTTCCCTAATTAATTCTTTATATTTTGATTTTTTACGCTCAACGTTTCTTTGAAGATTTGATTCGAAGCCAACTGTAAGTTCAACAATATAGAGTCTTCCGGTTGAGGTTGAAAGAAGCAAATCTGGACGGTAGGTGTCACCAGTGATGATTGATGGACTTTTGTACCCTGGGAGATCCACGTAAAGATGTGAGCCGCTTACGGTCTGCAGGCTTGTTGCGAGAAAGTTTAGAACGGAGTCATGTCTCCACGTGAATCCTTCTAATAATAGTAATAATAATAATAATAATAATAATAATAATAATAATAATAATAATAATAATAATAATAATAATAATAATGGAAACTTTATTAAATGCTTTTCTTTACATACATATACAATCGTAAATCTCTCTCATAAAGGTAACTTACGGTTGGCTATTTGAATCACAATTATACTAAACTAAAATAACAGAACAAAGTGCATGCAATATATATATATATATATATATATATATACATTGAGATAAGTCAAATTGTTAGTAAATCCGGATTTTCCCATTCCTTATTTCGGCAACAAAAAATGTAATATGTAGTTCTAATAGCAATAGTCATCATTTTCCTAACGCAGTACATTTGGTGGTTTTTGTCAAGACCAATACTATCTAACATGTCTAAAAATGTATAACATTCTTCTGCAAAAATACCTAAAGAGCTGATGGAGAGATTTATAAATTTAACTTGGTTAAAATTTTTACCTAGCTGTCTCAATAATTCTCTATATTTATCCTTCTTCCGTTTTACATTGTTTTTGAGGTTTGTCTCATAACCAGTGGTAAGTTCAACCACATATAAGGAACCATTTGAGCACGATAATAACAAATCTGGGCGATACGTATCACCAGTAAGTATTGAAGGGCTTTTGAATCCATTTAGGTCGGCGTAGAGAGTAGAACCGTCAACAGTTTCTAACTGATGAGCAAGAAGGTTCAGGACTGAATTGTGTCTCCACGTAAATCGGTCGAGATAAAACTG